CTATCCCTATTTTGCTGAGAGTTTTGATCAGAAATGGGTGTTGGATTTTATCAAATGCCTTTTATGCACCAATTGATATGATCACATGAGAACCATTATTTTTAACTTTTACCATAACTATGCAACGTCTGTGGTATTAGTCCCTTTTCCAGGTGAGATAACTAACCTGTAGAAGGTAAGGAACTCACCTAGGGTTGCTTGGCTACTAAGTAGAAGAGCTAGAATTGGAGCCCAGGTCAGACCTCACTGGCCTGCTCTTTGTAAACTGCTGTTAATGTAAGAGCTTAAGGTGATGGAAATGTTTTACATAAGGATGCTGTGTACTGTTGCAAGCATGTTCAATGAATTTGGCATGTTAATATCTCACAGAAACAGGAGATTTGGGTGTGCATAAAATGAGCAGTTTTTCTGAGCCAATGAGACTGTTATTTTTTACTTAAATAAATTGCCAAAAGGGAAAAAAAAAGAAACTGTTGTGTCTAGCGATAAACTTTGCTGACATCTTTATTATTATTATTATTAATTTTTTAACAAAACTTTGACATCTTTTAAAATGTGAATAGAAAACAGAAATAGTATTCTAGGATTTTATTTCTGGAAGGGACTTTTGGTCATCCAAGCCAATCCCTTCATTTTCCTTCAGACTGAGTCTTAGGAGTGAAGTGCTGAATTTCCTGGAGCTAGGACCACATTTTCTGACTGCTAGTCCAGTACTCTTCCTACTATGCCACACCATCTCCCTCAGCGGCTGCTGTGAATGGCTGGAGTCGAGGGTGGTGGTTGATGGTGAAGAGAGAGATTAGCAATCTTAATTGATTTGCCTTTAAGTGGAAATTATATCTGTAAACTCAGCAGCTGATGTCAGTTTCCAGAATAGGATATTGTTCTGTCCTCCCCTTCCTGATGCTGACTTTAAGCTGTGACTCCACGGAAGCAAGTTGATGGGGAATTAGCAAGTTGATGTACCTAAATGACTCGATAAGCAGGTGAGCAGACGAGTGGGCACTGGTGGCAAGATAGCAGTGGGTTCCTTTGCCCTCACTGACCTACGACCATCCTAGGTCTTGGAGTAGAGGAATGGGACACCTAGGTCTTGTACTGTTCCGGAAGCTGAGGTAATTGAAAGGGTAAAAACAGAGCTGCTGTGTGGAATAAGCAGGGCAGGCTCAAGACTGGATGCTGTTAGTGACCAGGTCACTGGGATTAATGGTCAGAGGAGGTGAAGGTCTGGGTGGAGGTATCAGGCTGCCCTGACCAGAATTTGTGGTGCAGAGAAAGATGAAACGTGGTGCTAGGGTTTCGTTCATATATTTCAGGCATCTGAGGAGACAATTGATACTCTGTGCAGGGAGGAGAGGTCATTGTGTTAGCATTTCGTAAATGAAACAGTATTATTTCCAGTATTCAAATAATAATAAATAGAAAGTTCCGAGTGTAGGGTCTGTGCCAGCTGTTGGGAGTCTGAGATGGAGAAGATATTCTCCATGGCCTCCAGTAGTGTTTATTATGGTCCTGGGATTGATTTATATATTGTCATTGCTGCATGCCACCAAGTCAATTCTGACTCATCAAAAACTCAAACTCAAACTTACAGCTGTCGAGTTGATCCAAACCCATGGCAACCCCTGCTTGGGTTTCTGAGGCGGTATCTCTACAGAAGTAGATTGCCCAACCTTTCTTCCAAGGAGTTTCTGGTGGGTTTGAACTGCCAACATTTCAGTTAGCAGCCATGTGCTTTAACTATGGTGTCACCAGGGTTCCTTAATTTGTGTATAAATAAGTGTGAAAAAATGTGACCTTTTTTAACCACAGGGGTATGATTACCCACTCTGAGTGGTGGACTTCTTTTGGGAAGGTTGCAAAGCAGTGGATATGTAATGTTCCCAGTTTGGATGGGAATCCCAAATAGGGATTACAGCACTGTGGGTATTAACTCAGTAGCACAGGCTGGGTGGGTGCCTCCTGTGTGCAGGGAACTGGGCTGGCTGCTGGGATTACGTAAGCATGGTGATCCACAGTTTCTGTCCTTACTCAGCATAGAACCCAAGAGGAAGATGCACACACTTTGCTGTAGTGACAGATTGGGGCATTGTAGAGAGGGGCGGGGGAGAGGGAGGGAGAGAGAGAGAGATGAAGCACAGTGATAGCATTGGGGCGTAGTTGGGGGCTGGGCATGCTGCATGGCCCACAGGAAGAAGGAGTGAGGGAACCTGCATGGAGCAGGTAACCTTTGACATGGGCCTTAAAGCATAGTTAACATTTCGCAAAGGGAAACACATCGTAGGCCCAGGGAACATTCAGACAGTGGTAAACATGGCCAGAGATGAGGACGCATAGTGCTGCCGAAGATGGGCTGAGAGCATTTGGGGCTCTGTTGTCAAAGGCTCTGGGTGTGGTTCCAAATGAGGAAAGCAGTGACCATGTTTTAAGCTGGATAATGACATGCTGTCTGTTTTAGGAAGCTAGAAGGCCAGTTAGGAAGTAGTTACTGTACTTTAAATAAGATGATTAGACCCTGAAGGACGGCAGGTGAAACGAATGTTAAAGCAGGAGCAAGAGAGGGCAAGGCGATGACGGTAGTAGGATTCTGTCAGGTAAGAGGTGGTCGGGTCTGGAGAGAGGCAGGGCAGGGGGTAATGAGCCTGTTTGTATACACAGTGAGATTAAAGGCCCTACCTGCGTGAGCCCTTCAGTTTGAAGATGACTGGCAATTAGCTAGAGCTGTAGTGCTAGGTACAGGTGAGAGGTCAGCAGATTCACGTTACTGAGAAAGGCCAATCATCTTACTGAAGCAACAGGACTGAGTGGGTTATTAGGGGAGGGTGAAGAATGAGGATATAGTAATGGGGGCCACTCACAGAACTTTGAGCACTTAAAAGGCAGTAAGAGGACGCTCTGGTGGCAGAGTGCCTAAGGTATTTGACTGCTAACCAGAAGGTTGGCAGTTCAAACCCACCAGCCACTCCTGGGAAGGAAGATTGGGCAATCTACTTCCATAGAAATACCATCTTGGAAACCCAAGGAGGGTTGCTATGAGTCAGATCCGACAACAGTGAGTAAGAGGAGATAAGAAGTGTTAAAGGAGATTTAAGATGACTCTTTAGGGGGACAGTTTTATGAACAGGATGTGGTTAATTGACAGCATAGGTAATGAAGAAGGAGAAAAGATGGTTTGGCTTAAGACTATAGAGGAAGTTTCGGAGGAATGAGGAGGCTGGAGGGATAGAGGGCTGAGTGGGAGAGGATGTGGAGACAACTGATACAGATACTTTTAGAGGAGAGAGAAGTAGCAGGGCAAGAAGAAAGAATGCTGTGTGAGGGAAGGGGCCATGTCGTCCCATTTTGTGTGGTAAAGATGAAGAAGATAGGGGAAAATGTGATGAGAAGGGTTCCTGTGACATGTAAACATGGGATTTTGAGCACAGGTGGTAGGGTTAGTTTGGGGAAGAGACATGATTCTTGGAGACAATAGGATGGAGAAACAGGGTAAGTGAAGACATTTTTTGAGGTGGGCAAGAGGAAGATTGTAGAATTGGTTTCCTTCCCCACAACTCTCATAGCCTCTCATGAAATAGGAGGTAGAGGTAAAATTGCTGAAAGGGAAGGAGAGAGGCGTGAAGGTATTTGGAAAAGTGGAAAAGACACATAACAACTTCTTAGGGGATGAAAGAACTTTCAAGGGCAGAAGGAGAGCCTACCCAGCTGTGTTTGAAAAACAGCTTCTGGTGAAGCCAGTGAATTGAGTTGTTTGGTTTTCTCTGACGTTACTGGCACACCTGGATGTTGAAGTAGTAGAAACAGTTGGTTGAGTTAGCTTAGGCCCTGGATAGCAAAAGCAGGATATGATGTTGGGAGAAATTGAAGGCATTATTTAGGACAGTGGTTCCCAAACTTCAGCATGTACCAGACTCTTACGGATTGCTGGGCCCCACTCAGAGAATGTGCATTTCTGACATGTTCTCGGGTAATGCAAATGCTGTTCCAGACTCAAACTGAGAACCACTGACGTAGAGTACAGTTGGAAAAGAGTTTTCATGGATTACCGGCTAGAGAGGGAGGATAAGAATCCAGAAAGGGTCTGGAGGGTGGTGAGAATAAGTATGAGGGTGCCAGGGAACGGGGTCCCAGATGAAGCCAGAGGGAGGTTCACTGGGCGTTGTGGGCTGGGAGAGGTAGAAAACTGGGAGAGGCTAGTGCTTCAGATGGTGAGGCCTGACAGGCAGAGCCGTGCCCCCTCTCTCTCCCCACATCAGCTCCAGGAGAAGATTGCTCGTTCCAGCTTCGGGTGCCCTGACCCGTGGCCTATGGACAGAGCCTGACGTGCTCTCTTCCCCGCATGTGACCCTGTCTCTATGTCCGTTCTCCCATTTTATAAAACACCGCTCAAGGGATTATGATTGGGACTGACCCGACTCCAGTGTGACCTCATTAATTTCACATATAATGTCTGCAAGATAAACTCTCTTTCCCTTTCAGACAAGGTCACATACACGGGAAAGAGGGGTTAGGATTTCAACATATTTTGGAGGGGAGGGCACACTTCAATGCATAGCACACATGGTGATGGCCTGGCCACTTACCTACTCTGGACTTGGCCAAGACAGTGAATCTAAGACTCTCTTTCCTCATCTGTGAAGCAGGCTGGCAACATTAGGTTATTTAGGTGAAGCTGTCGTAAGGAGAAAATAGCGTTCTGAAGTACTTGGGGTCTCCACAGAATAATATGTCTTGTTATTAAAGGAGAACATGGGCTTTGGAGTCACAGACCTGGATCTGCAGCTCCTTTGTAATTGTCGAAGACGTGATCTGACCTCAGGTCCGCTCTAGTGAATGGCTTTAAGGCATCCTCCCCTCATCAGTAACTGGGGTACCAGCTGCCTTGTGGGGTTATTGTGAGTTCAGTGGTCTAAGTATAGTGCAGTCCTGTGACATAGTCTTTGTTCAAATGTTTGTTTGCCTTTCTTTCTAGCCTCTCATTTTTAGGTTTCTTTATTTTCTAGTCAGGTCTTGAAAAGAGCATAGACCAGGCTGTGGACGAGTGGAATATCGAGAAGGCGGAGGAACTCAGCAACCAACTGGCTACTCGAGAGGTGAGTACAGTTTTCTGTATGTCCAGATTCTCAAAAATAGATATCAGTTCCTTTTATGATCATGAATAAATTCAGTACAGGCATGCCTCGGGGACATGGTGGGTTTGGTTCTGGGCCACTGCAATAAAGCAAGTGTTGCAATAAAGAGATTCCCATGACTTTTTTGGTTTCACAGTGCATGTGACAGTTAATGTTTGCACTGCACTGTGGTCTGTTAAGTGTACAGTGGCATTTTGAAAAAGTATGAAATACGTGAAAATTACCAAAATGTGACACGAGACGCTAAGTGAGCACGTGCTGTAGGGCAGCTGGCAGCAGTGGACTTGCTCAGCACAGGTTTGCCCCAAGCCTTCAGTTTGTGAAACACGCACTGCCTGTGAAGCGCAATCAAACGGTGTATGCCTCTATTCAACTGGTTCGTCCAAGATTTTCCTTTCTGTCCATTTCCTTCCCTTTTATCCTGCTGTGTTTTCTGAAATGCTAGGTTTTACTTTGGTCTTTGTATGTGTGTCATTCTGGTCTGTAGCTTACTCTGGAAAGAAATCTGTGAGTGAGATTTCCCCCCCATATCTCACCGAGGTCAGAAGAGGGTTTCCCTGAGACTAGCTGCTGAGTATTTTGGCATCTTTAACGGAGACTGACTCTCCCTGGGGCCGCTCTGGGTTCTGCAGTCGCATCTCCAGGCATCCTGAACCCTTGCTCCCCAACATTCTTCGTTAATGCATAGTCTGCCATCTCTGTTAGCCATAAAGAACTGTCAGCCTTTTTTCCTGTACTTCACGATTTAAAATGAGTAGATTTATTGAATATTCTTTTTCTGACCACACAGAGCTGTGGGAAGATTCCTGCATACTCTCCTAGGGGAATAAGTCTCCTCCATTGAGAGTCACTTCTAAATAGTTCTGGACACTAAATTGTTGTTAGTTGCCCATTGAAAACAAGAAAATAACAGTTTTGCCTGCCTGCCTTTCCCCCTAGCCTCAAGTAACCACAAATCTTTGGTCTTCATGAATTTGCTATTCTAGGTACTTGATAAAAGTTTGTACAACATGTGATCTTTTGGGTGTTGCTTATTTCACTCAGCATAACATTTTCAGGGTTCGTCCATGTGCCGCCATGTGTCAGAACTTCACTGCTCTTTACGGTTGAACAGCTCTCCATCGTAAGGATAGCACACAGTTATCCACTCGTCTGTTGATGGGCACTTGGGTTGTTTCCATCTTTTGGTGATTATGAATAATACTGTATAAAGTATTTTTTAATGTTTTCTTTTTCTTCTAAGATGTCGGTTCCCTGGTTTCACTTTGTAGTATTTCTTACGCTTTCGGTTTGATGTTAACTCAGTTTCTTCTTTAAAGTAGCCATATTTTGTTGTCCTTGAATGTAGTATAGCATTCATTGGATATGATAGCATTTCATTAGTCTACTTTAGAAAGATAATTACATTTTAATAGAATGAACTTGATCGTGTGCTGAATGGTGTGGAAATTCAAGAGGATTTCAGTGTTACTTGGTTTTATAGTGCTGCCTTCAATGTGAGTGCAATCGGAGGCCCTTTCCCTACAAACGAGCTTTGTGCCAAAGATCATCTTTAAAATTCTGTCCTTCAGCAAGCATGGCATGGACTCTTTGTTAGTAAGCACTAATTAGATGGATTGAGACAGTAACTGCAGCGATTGGCTCTAGCATAGCGACAGTTGTGAGGACGGTGCAGGACCGGGCAGTGTTTCATTCTGTTGTACATAAGGTTGCTATGAGTCAGAGCCGACTCAAAGGCATTTAACAACGGCAGTCTGTTTTGGCACTTGACACTCACTTCTTCATAGAAGTATTGTCGGAAATTGTGATTATGTTTCCTGACCAGCCTGCAAGAAGAGTTAAGCCAAAAGAGAGCAACATTATACTGTTGTTGTTGGTATGTTTTATTGAGTTGGCCCTGACTCATAGCGACCCCTCCTTGGGTTGCTGAGGCAGTATCACTACAGAAGTAGATTGCCCAGTCAGTCTTTCTTCCAAAGAGTGGCTGGTGTGTTTGAACCGCCAGCCTTCTGGTTAGCAGTCAAGTGCCTTAGGCACTATACTAACAGAGCTCCTAACATTATAGTAGCAGTATGCTAAAACTGAGGGAGTTAACCATGGAAAAGGAGCCTTGGTGGCACAGTGGTTAAAGTGCTCAATTGTTAACCAAAAGGTCAGGGGCTTGAATCCCATCAGCTCCTCCATGGGAGAAAGATGGGACAGTCTGTTTCTGTGAAGATTACAGCCTTGGGAACCCTATGGGGCAGTTCTGCTCTGTCCTATAGGGTCGCTATGAGGCATTGGGCTCCTAAATGATGCCCTGGCATGGGATGGGTCACCAGGTAACATTCGCCCCTCAGTGATTATGTATTAACTCTGACCTTCTCTACATTGCTGGTTTCCACTGGCATGCTTTCCTTTCTCTTAGCCATTTGGAGCTGTGTGTCAAAACATACGGCGGGGGAAAAAAAACATACAGGAGGAGGGCCTTGCCGGTTTCAGAAGTATGTGCCTCCTGTGAGGGTGGTAGTTTAGCTCTTGGTGGTGGTGTGTCATACTGCTGTTTCAAAAATGCAAATCGTATAACCCTACTGACTAGGTATTTTCCATTTGTACATGTGGATCTGGTCTCAGAAGAAGAGGGTAGTTATTTCTTGTCAGACTTCACGACAAATGAGATTGCCTTAGAGGTACATGGTATCTTCAGCACTTAGAAGGATAGTAGACATTTTTCTCAAGTGTTCTTTTTATTTCCACACGAGTATCATTCTTTGTTCTGGTAAAAATAAATTACATTTATTTAGTGTCGGATTAAAGAATTCTGATTAAAAGGAAAACAATAATTTGAGCCCTGTTCTTTCCTGTCTAAGTGGAAAAACATCTGGGAAATGTTTGCTGTGCAGACCCAGACACTGGAAAGATACTGAAGCCATGTGAATTCAGCCCCATGAAGAATAACTAAAGTAATCAGGCTTGAATTCTTGAGTCAATAGTTTAGTTTGAGATTTAATTTTTCATATTTATCCCCTTGGTGCCAATCACTGTGAATAAGGGAGAAGGGATTTGGAGAAGTAAGTAATTGTGAGTTTGGGGCAAAAACCCTTTGTGAAATTGAATGTCTGCGTGCGTAGTAGGGTCCTTTGGAAATCAGGTGTGAGGTTTTCATCAGTGTCGTCTGTTTTCTGCATGTGTGGTAGAGATCCTTTGGACATGAGGTGTGTGGGGTTTTCATTAGATGGTTTTCTGCGTGCGTGTTAGAGGTGCTTTGGACATGAGGTGTGTGAGGTTTTCATTAGATGGTTTTCTGCATGCGTGGTAGGGGCCCTTTAGACAGCAGGTGTGTGGGGTTTTCATAAGCGTCGTTGTCTGTTTTCAGGGAGCAGGAGCTGGGACTTGCTGATGCAGCCTTTGTTCACAGGCATAGACCCCAGAGTTCTGAGTCTTTTCCAGCCATAATTGGGGAAACTGATTTTTGATGTTTAACATTTGTAAGCCTGTGAAACCAACAGAGCAGCATCAGTATTGAGAAAACTGAAGCCAAGAGCAGAACCGTGTCTGTGAATAGCCTCAGGAAACATGGTGTGCCCAGGTCAGGGCTGCTGGAGCACTCTCATTGCAGCAGGAGGAAGGTAGTTTTCCAGGCTCCCTTTCCCTTAAACCAGTGACGACATTATGGATGTTTGTCATCTGACTGAGGGGCGGCTCCAGTTCAAGTGCCTGGAGCCTGGCTTGCAGTCAGCTTGGGTCTTGCTATAGTATTGTGGTTCCTTTGAGACTACCCCTCCTGTTGGTTAAGTACATTTTAGTTGTTTGCAGACTTGGAGGAGAGATGAAGTGGAAAAATATACTTGGGTTGTGTCATATTGATGAAACTGTTTTAATTTTGAGAAAAAGAGATCTTTCTATATATGTATATATGTATACATATGTATATGTAAGTAAATATATTTTATGTATGTGTGTGTGTGTGTGTGTGTTTATAAGGAGCTCTGGTGGCATAGTGCCTAAGGCATTTGATTTGATTGCTAACCAGAAGGCTGACGGTTCAAACCCACCAGCCACTCCTTGGAAGGACGGTTGGGCAATCTACCTCCGTAGTGATACTGCCTTGGAAACCCAAGGAGGGGTTGCTCTGAGTCGGGTCCAATTCACCGTCAGTGCATTGCGTTTGTTGTAATGTGTATTTATGTGTGTGCGTGTGTGTGTCTATGAAGCAAATGTACAGGCATCTGGGCCTGTGTGTGTGGCTTGTTGAGCTCAGGCTTGAGGTGGAGGCACTTTCATTCATTGTTGGTGACCCTTGAAAATGCATCCTTTGCTCCTGTGTCTTTCGTCCTTACAATCCAGTCCTACCTGTGTTCAGAAACCAGTAGAAACAAGGTCTTTAAAATAAAGTACAAAAGCCTAGACTTAATTAAGGAGGTGGCAGTTAGGTTGAGGCATCCACGTTTCGGAAAGAGAATTTTTCTCTATGCTGCTTCACGTTAGCCTGCTTATAGAGAAAAACCATCTTGCTTTGGCAACAGGACAGTGAATTTCTCTCAGCACATGCGTCATCCCTCCATTAACTGGACGTATTCTCAGTTGGATTTTAGTTACACCTGTGCAGTGACAGGGCAGAAACGAATAGGGATCAGAGGTTGCCTGTGGATTTTGTGTGAATTGTGCATAGCTTATGCCCCAAAAGATGGTGTTTTCTATCAGTGACTGAAAGAGCATGGTCTTTGCAGCACCGACTAGACGCTTTGAAAACCCGTGCTTTATGTTGTGACGTTATGACCATTTTGTGCATCTGAGAAGGGGGCACCATATTGTTCTTCTATAGTTTGCAAGGTATTGATGTTCACATCAGAAGATATCTTTGTTGTCACCTGCTCTCATCTTTGCCAAGGATGAAAACCTTCGATTGAGAGGAATGATGTAATGTTGTGTATTTTAAATTTTCTTGACCCTTTAAATGAGAACCTAAGGCAATGGCTTAA